TTCCTTCTTGGTAATGGAGATACTCTAAGCTCTATCTTTACATTCCACAGATTTATTGGAGATTCCTTTCTCAGCAAATTCACAACATTTTAAATCATCCTGTTGGGAATCTTTGCTCTTGATTCTCAACATAAGTCTGACTAAAAGCCCCCAACAACAGCCATGCTACTCTGTCAATATTCAAGTGCCTAGCCATTCAAGTGTCTTACTTTTGAAAGGTTAATTAGTCTACCGTGCTTAATGTCAGTCTCAGGAAAAGTCTCTGGGCACAAGCAAAATGCAGACAAACTTTCTGCCAAGCCAAAACACAAATGGCCTGAAGTCCAACAACCAATGCAGTCCTATTTCCCCCTCAGAAACCTCCTGAGCCTGGTCTTTGTAGGCAGGTTTTCTACAAGCCTTCTGGTCTGAGCTCTGACCAGAATCTTCCATACAGAATAGGTGAAGCAGTTCCAATGCTTCTTTTATAGGCCGCATCTCCGAACCTTTCACATCTCTTCCCATAAGCCATTGCCAAAGCTTGTAATTCACTAGTCATAGCAACGACCCCACTTCTCTGGCACCAAATTCTGTCTATGTTGCTCTTCTCTCATTGTTTGGACAAATACCAGACATCCAAAATGAAGGAAGGAAAGGTTTATTTATCTCACAGTTACTGGAAGTTTCAGTCCGTACTCAGCTGGCTCCAAGGCAGAGTGGCACATGGCAGAGAGCAATATTTCCTGGCAGCAGCAAAGAGCAAGAGTAAAAAGGCAGAAGCAGTGGCAAAAATGGCTACAGAAAGGAAGTCTGTCTCTCCTAAGTTGCATTCAGTCTGTATGCCCCAGGCTGGGTGTAATCCTCATAACCATAGTCCCAGTTGTACTAAGGCAGATAATCCCAGCCTTTTTTTCCCCATTTCTTTGGCTGAGTTTATTTTTATTTATTTTTTTTAAGATTTAAAATTTATGAATTTAGTTCAACTTATAATACCATATTTCCAAGAAAAAAGAAACTTTTGCACAAGAAATTGAAATAAAATCATAGCAAGATACAAAAAAATGAAAATTTCCAAAGCTTACTGTAAAGAAGAAAATCATTAAAACGTATACATAAAA